TCTCTCTCTCTCTCTCTCTCTTAGCGAAGATTCGTTCGACCAGGCTGGAAGGCGCGATGATCGCCGACAAAAAGAGACCTCAAGAGGAATTTCTGCGAACAATAGGGGAGCGACGGGTGCGGCAGCGAGAGGAGAAGAAACAGGTCGAGAATGGATGATAAAGAAGCGGCGAGCAACTCGAGCCAGGTGGAAGCCACGATCCAGAAAGGCAGGCAGCGCGAAATCGTCTTCTTGGCTCGTGAGATGAAATTAAGTGAATTGGCTGCGCATGAGTGGGCCCTTCTGACGTCCCAGGCAAAACGAAAGCAGCGATGCCACGAGAAATCGCTTGGAGAGGAAACGTTCCGAGGGAGTGTTCGCGTGTATCGCGTGGAAGCATCCTCCGCTGTCGTTTCAGATGGTTTGCGACGTTATGTGAAAGTAACGCGGTTAACTATTTTGTTAACCTTTGGAATTCATTCAACGTGGTATGAATTTACGTAAGATTATTTGTATGAAAATTTTAAGTTGCAATGATGCCAGTTGAAGGGTTAAAGGTCTGTGAAAATGTTTCAGAACTGAGATTTCTAGATGCAAGTTGTATGCTGATATATATGATAGTTGAATGATACATTGATATTGTATGACAGCATGCCGGAATATCAATTACTTGTATTATAGATATTTGTATACTATGATGTACAAATTAAGAATTTAATGCAAATTAGTAAATTAAGAATTTTTAATATACAAATTAAGAATTTGTATATTGTAATGCCTGTATCTGTATTATATAATCTGTAACCATGTAAATAATATCATTTACGTAATTATATGCATATTATATTTGTAATTATAACATGCAAATTCTTACTCACTAGTATAGTGTACACAATCAGTTATAAAGAAGAGTAGTACAGATAAGGATTAAAAGAATAAAAGTACAATATAAAAAGAAATTTAGAAAATTAGAATAATCAGTCCGTCATATATATCAGGATTATAAAAATACTTCTCACTATTTCTTCTGAAACGATTGTTTTGCATAATCTTAGTCAACGGTGCTATTTTAAATGATTTATGGGCCATTCGAGGT